TAAGCTAATATTTTGCTAAGATGGTTTGAAAAATCAGCTTAAGATATTTGCTTTAGGGATATCTTAACTTTTTTGACTTATGGCATTTGCTAAGCTGAGATTGATAAATCCCGGGTCTGGGCCCCAGTAGCACACGTTGCTGTAAACTAATATTACTTTTAACTTGAAACGCAACTAGCCTTGCTCATGTAGTCTGAGTTACCATAACTTATAAACTAACATCAACTCCCTCGTCACGACTCCGCGACACTAATTTGCCGATCCAAACAAATACATTTTGATAGCCAATCCGAGTGTGGTCAAAAATCACATGGGCGATCCTGTACCGTCTAATATTTATCCCCATGGACCTCATCCCAGGAATTTTATTCCGGGACACTGAACAAGGCCCTAGGCATCCCCTTGTTTTAGACCCAGATCAGAATTGTTGGACCCCCTATCGACATTTTTCTCATTTTTCCAAAACAGCCAATTTAAAAGTCTATGTATAAATAAGAATATAGCACTGTTAATTGACAGGAAAACAATTTTGTCATTCATATATTTAATTGTAAATTTGTAACTTACTTAAATATAATTATTCAGTTGTGGAATTAAATTGTTTATATTTCAGCTCAAGACAGACAGTGTATATTTAAATTGGACCTCATTGGAAATGGGCTGGACTCGGCCTAATGGGCGTTCCTGATGCTTATTACGGTAATTTTTACTTTTCTTGATCTCAATCAATTTGTTATCTTGCTTATGCATGTTGGGCATCGAATAAATTCAATCAATCAATAAAAAAAATCATATCCTGAAAAATGTTTGTATGAAGATTATAGTTATAGTAATCTATATATTCATTTTCTTTCAGCCTGCTTTCCCCCTCCCCCCAACCTAAATCTTTTAAAATGGTAAAAAATTGGAGAAATAAAAATTACGTTCAAATTTAAAATCTGAGAGTGCCATTTCTGGTCATCTAGAGGAGCCATAATCGAAGTTTCCTACCTCAACCCCAACCATGGTGGGGCTGAGGTGGTGGGAACCCTTCATTTGGCAAAGTTCCTCCCCGTGGGCCCCCCTCTATTTCAAACCTGCTGGCTCTGCCTCTGTTTTTATTTATATATTATGTTTGGTTGATGCTCCGTTTCTGTTTCCTAATCTTTTCTCAATATTTTTGTATTCCAGTGATGTATACAAAGAAGCCACAACTATCAGGAAAGAATGTCAGGACTCAAACGTGAAAGGGCAACAGAACTTACAAATTATTCATAGATAGCCAAAAATTGTGTCACTCATCAAACTTCCTGCAAAAATTATGGATATGAAATTAATTCAAATATAGTTTAAATTTTATTTTCAAAATGTTTTCCTCTGCAATAATCACAAAAAATAATCTTAGTATTATGTAGTAATTATTGTAGACTTTATTTTTTAATATTGTATTATTACTGCTAATGTTTATCTTATTAATAGAGAAAATAATCCGTTTGTTGTAAGGAATATAGACATGTAAAATAATAAGATATAACATTTTGAGGATTAAAATCAGATTTATTGATTTTTACCGGATGTACATGATATAGGCCTACAGTATATAAATATAAATCACAACTTGATTTCAATGCTTGAAAATAAATATCAAATGGAATTGTTCATTTCTTCTCATCTTATTTAATGCCTATGTTTACAGTAATAAGTTCAATAGCTAAAATATCCTTATTATAATAAGCTTAAACCAAAAGTGAAGAATTTGCTTCATAAATATGTGCTACTTTATCTATTAAACCAAGGCATTTCAATTTTTGTTGAATTGCCTTGATTAAACTAGCAATTCTTTGGAGAACGCCCTCAACATAAACATAAACCGGAAATGACGTGTTGCTAAATTATAACTACCAATAAAACTTCCTCGTCCGATTCCACAACATTAAATTGCCGATCCAAACAAATATATTTTGAAAGCCAATCCAAGTATGGTAAAAAATCACATGGGCGATCCTGTACCGTAAGATTTCTCCCCATGAACCTCACCCCAGGGATTTTATACCGAGACCCTCAACAAGGCTCTAGGCATCCCCTTGTTTTAGACCCCCATCAGAATTGTTGGACCTCTTATCGACATTTTTCTAATTTTACAAACATTTTACTACAAAATCCTTAAATCGACACTACCACCCAATTTAAGAGTCTATGTATAAATAAGAATATAGCACTGGTATAATTTAACTGTCTGTTAATTGACATGAAAACAATTTTGTCATTCATATTTAATTGTAAATTTGTAACTTACTTAAATATAATTATTCAGTTATGGAATTAAATTGTTTATCTTTTAGCTCAAGACAGACAGTGTACCGTATGTGACATTGGAAATGGGCTGGACTCCGGCCTAATGGACGTTCCTGATGCTCATTACGGTAATTTTTACTATTCTTGATCTCAATCCATTTGTTATCTTGCTTATGCATGTTGGGCATCGAATAAATTCAATCAATCAATAAAAAAAAAATCATATCCTGAAAAATGTTTGTATGAAGATTATAGTTATAGTAATCTATATATTCATTTTCTTTCAGCCTGCTTTCCCCCTCCCCCCCCCCCCACCCTAAATCTTTTAAAATGGTAAAAAATTGGAGAAATAACAATTACGTTCAAATTTAAAATCTGAGAGTGCCATTTCTGGTCATCTAGAGGAGCCATAATCGAAGTTTCCTACCTCAGCCCCAACCATGGTGGGGCTGAGGTGGTGGGAACCCTTCATTTGGCAAAGTTCCTCCCCGTGGGCCCCCCTCTATTTCAAACCTGCTGGCTCTGCTTCTCTGTTTTTATTTATATATTATGTTTGGTTGATGCTCCGTTTCTGTTTCCTAATCTTTTCTCAATATTTTTGTATTCCAGTGATGTATACAAAGAAGCCACAACTATCAGGAAAGAATGTCAGGACTCAAACGTGAAAGGGCAACAGAACTTACAAATTATTCATAGATAGCCAAAAATTGTGTCACTCATCAAACTTCCTGCAAAAATTATGGATATAAAATTAATTCAAATATTATTTAAATTTTATTTTCAAAATGTTTTCCTCTGCAATAATCACAAAAAATAATCTTAGTATTATGTAGTAATTATTGTAGACTTTATTTTTTAATATTCTATTATTACTGCTAATGTTTATCTTATTAATAGAGAAAATAATCCGTTTGTTGTAAGGAATATAGACATGTAAGATAATAAGATATAACATTTTGAGGATTAAAATCAGATTTATTGATTTTTACCGGATGTACATGATATAGGCCTACAGTATATAAATATAAATCACAACTTGATTTCAGTGCTTGAAAATAAATATCAAATGGAATCGTGCATTTCTTCTCATCTTATTTAATGCCTATGTTTACTGTAATAAGTTCAATAGCTAAAATATCCTTATTATAATAAGCTTAAACCAAAAGTGAAGAATTTGCTTCATAAATATGTGCTACTTTATCTATTAAACCAAGGCAATTCAATTTTTGTTGAATTGCCTTGATTAAACTAGCAATTCTTTGGAGAACGCCCTCAACATAAACATAAACCGGAAATGACGTGTTGCTAAACATCAAGCTCATACATAATCATAAATATTCAGTGACACCTGTTCTAATTAGACTAACAATAAAATCTTTTTGGTCGATTTTGTCAAAACTGAACTAAAAGTTTTTATTGTTAGTCTAATGAGCGCAGGTGTTATTGAATATGCATGAGCTGTAGCCTAGCAACTGACGTCATTTCCTGTTTTGTAAAATTCGACAGCACCTTGCTCTGAAAAGTTTCGTAATTTGTTGGTGTCATGTGAATACATTTGGAAAGAGTGTTAGAGTGTATAAGATATAGTAGCCTGTAATATTAGTGCTATATTCGAATCGAAATGATTATAATATATTTAATTCGATTATATACTGATTAATAATACGGTATTATTATTAATGCAATTACGACGAAGGAAGTACAGATGTATTATAAATTACACTACAGTTTACTTTTATTTCTTACATACTCGGAAATGTTACATCAGAAGTATATAAACGGTAATATAAAGAGAATATAAAGTTTCTAGTGTCCTAATAAATATCCGCGCGCGATCATTTGTAGAATTAAGACCACATAAATCCAGCTATTGATAACATCTTGTGTTCCGGCAATTAAATACACATCGTGTTCCGCTGACAATAATTGTACATCGACTTTGCACTTATTGATGGATCGGTAGATTTTACCTGAGACACTGAAATAAAAGAGACTGAACTAGTGAGAAATGCATTCAAACTATTTTCATGTTGGCATCTGTGTTAAATTAGGCCTAATTAAGTATAAATCTCATTAGATTAAAAACACTTTTGGAAACTTTATGACATTCATACTTTCACGTGGTATAGGAATACAAAATCAGAAAATAAAATCGATTGTTTGATTAATTTAATACATTATGTAATGTGTACATGTTAATAAAGTGTTCTTTTAATATGAGTGTGTTAGTACGCTCCCCAACATCCCACCCCAAATCAAAAAAAAAGGTCCAAATTTTAAGACAGTCGAAAATGTGCTGAATACACATTTTTTTTAATTGTTTAATAAAACTAAAAGGAGTTAAATCTTACAATACTCTATCGTCCTATAATAATAAAGCTGGGGTCACCTTCTTTTCCCCTTCACGACATCTGGAGTTTTAGGTAAACACCTATACCAAACCTAAACATAAAATTAGTTCCCCACACTAACATTATTCCCACACTTCCCACATGGAAGTTTTGGTAAAGAATAACTCCATTTTAGTTCCAGCATGTTCAACAGGAACATCCAGAGAGCGAGTGTTTACGTTGTGGAGACCACTACGAGTGAATACCATGTTTGCAAGTGTGTTCTGTTCTTTAGTATTCAAGTTTTCGCTCCTCGTACGCTGGTCACTTAAATGCACGATGGAACTACTTGCTCGGCCCCACAGCCAACTGAACGGAGGGAGGAAGCAGTGTGAC